CGCAGAAAGGCACGGAGACCAGCAGCAGCAGCAGCAGCAGCAACAGCAGCAACTGTTGCTGCTGTTGCAGCCACTGCAGCAGCAGCAGCTCGCAAGCCCACCTCTTCGGTGCCAAAACAGCAGCAGCAACAACAGCAACAGCAGCAACAACAGCAGCAGCATTCCTCAAAGGGAGAAGCAGCAGCGACCCGGAGCAGCAGCAGCAGCAGCAGCAGCAGCACGACCCGCAGCAGCAGCAAAACAGTTGCCCCTCTTCCCAAGGCAAAGCAGCGCTCTATCAACTCCATGCTGCAGCAGCGACCTCCTGCAAGAGCAGCAGCAGCTGCTGCTGCTGCTCCTTCTGCTGCATCCCCTCAGCTGCTTCTGCTGCTCCTTCTGCTGCATCCCCTGCTGCTGCTGCACCGAAGGAGACATCCACAGCTGCTCCTGCAGCAGCAGAACCTTGCGCTCCTGCTGCTGAAGCAGCAGCAGCCCCAGCAGCAGCAGCAGCAGGAGACAATCTTTCTGCAGCAGAAGATGAAGAGAGTCTCAAAAGGAGGCTGTCTACTAGTAGGCGGTGTTGCTGTTTACCTGCTGCTGTTGTCCTTCTGCTGCTGCTGCTGCTGCTTCCTTGGTGCTGCTGCTGCTGCGTCCTTGCTGCTGCTGCTGTGTCCTTGTTGCTGTTGCTGCTGCTGCTGCTGCTGAGTTAATGGTTTAGCTGTTGTGTGTCTCTGCTTCAGGCGCATCCCCGGGGCCTCGAAAGAAGACCAAGCGCCAGCAGCAGCAGCAGCAGCAGCAGCAGCGACAGCAGCAGCAGCAGCAGCACGATGAGCAAGAGCCGAATATATTTGCTGATGCAGAAGAGCAAGATGCATGCATGCCTCCCGCTGCTGCAGCAGAAGACCCCGAGGATGCCTCAAGCATGCAGTACGATGTGGATACACCGCAAGCAGACTCTGCTGCTGCTGCTACTGGCAGCAGCAGCAGCAGCAGCAGCAGTGACTCAGGGACGCCAGTCACTGTAAAAGAAAGGGTGCGTTTCCATCTGCTGAAGCCCCAGCCAACCCCCCTGCCTCTCAAACATCGTAAAGGGTTTAGGGTTTAGGGTTTAGGGTTTATGGTTTTGTGATGCTGCAGGTGTCTGGGAGCCGCTGCTTTCAAGAGGGTGGTTATTTGGTGTTTGAAGACTTCACTGAGATGCAGCAAAAGAAAGTCCCTGCTGCTGCTGCTGCTGCTGCTGCTCCAAGGCAGCAGCAGAAGCCTGCTGCAGCAGCAGCAAAGGGGGGGCAGCGCTCTACAGGCAGCAGCAGACGGCAGGCGAGCATTACTGCTTTCTTTGGAAAGAAGTAGGGTTTAGGGTTTAGGGTTTAGGGTT